CCCAAAATCCACTAAAGGGTCGGTGATGCGCCGGACACTGCTGTCAGGCAAGCCAACCAAAATTACTTAATCAAATTTCTCGTTTTAATACTTTTGATCTAGGATTTTCCTTCAAATTAGCAATTTAAAAAGATAATTGTCTCAAATCAAATTTAAATGATAAGCAGTTAATAACAAAATACTTCAAACCATCCCAGAACCCGGGTGTCGCAAGTGCATGAGAAATTTCTAAGAAAAATCAAATAAGGTACAACAACTGTCCGGAACACCATATTGGACAGAAAATAATACAGATAATTGAAAGAGCCTCTGCTGACTGGGGTCGCCTCGAGAAGTGCAGCTCACTAAGTCTCCGTATCCACCATGCTGCTACGCCCAGTAGGCCACTAGAGTTACATATACCCGTGCAACAAAAATGCACAGAAGTGTAGTATGAGTACGAAAACAACGTGTACTCAATGAGTATCCCGTCTAATCTCGAAGAAGTAGACGAGAGATGGTCAACTTCGATACTTACTAGTGTCCAATAATAATATGGTGAAGATGTGAGGAAAACATGGATTTATCTAGAAATTATAACTCACAGAGCAAGAAAACAGGTAACACCTTCTCAAATAATAAGGAAATTCCAAGATTTACTTTTCGTTATCTTTATTAGTTTATAGCGGGCCAAAAAGGCAATATCAACTTCATTAAGTTTCAGGATAAGCAATGGAAGCATGCGCATATTATGCCGAGGCGACGGCCCGATCCAACAGAAATAAACTGTGCACTTGCCGAGGGTCGACGGCGCGCCTATAGATGCATCTATTTAATCTGCCGAGGCGTTCGGCCCGTTCCATAAATAAACACACAAACAGTCAATCAAGAAGTCCACACGGAGTAATTATCCAATGAAAACAAATCCTCTTTTAACCATTTAAGAAAAATGAAGTTTTATCTGTTTAGAAATTCGATTACTAATTCGATGTGATTTAAGCAATTCAAGCTATCAATAGGTTCGTAAATAATTCAAGTATAGCATGCTTTTGGGTCCTAACTACCCGGACAATAGCATAATAGTATCTATGCACGGACTCTCGTCACCTCGTGCGTACGTAGCGCCCACAAATAGGAGCACATAATCAATTATTTCACCTATGGGGACAATTCCCTCTTACAAGGTTAGAAAGGAGACTCACCTCGCTCCGAAGGTCCATAACCGACATTCCACGCCCTTCCGAAGACTCGAATCGATGCACAACGCTCCAAAACTAGCCAATAATTATGTAAATCCATTAATATATGCTAAGGTACTCATTATAATCCAATTTATAACAATTCCTAACCCCGATCGAAAAGTTGAGAAAAGTGCCCTCGGGCCCACGTGCCCGGAATCCGAAATTTTTTGAAGATAAAGATTACCCATGACCTCACGAACTCAAATATATGATTTTCTCTAAATTCCATACCCAAAATCGTGGTCAAAATCCAAGAATACTAGCATAATCGGCTCCCATGGAAGAAATGAAGTGAAAATGAGCCAAACTTCGATTTTTAAAGAAATCTCTCTGCCTCCAGCAGTTTTCGCTTCTGCGGAAAAATTTCCGCTTCTGCGGAAATTTTCCGCTTCTGCGGAAAATTTCCACTTGTGCGGTCCCGCTTGTGCGGATGCGAAAATTTTCTGCTTCTGCGGTTATGACAGCAACCAGCACTTTCCTCGACACGGAAATGAGCATAACATCCTCATACGATGTCCAAATTCGACGATTCTTTTTGCTATGGCTCCATAATTACGATACGGATCTAATGGTATAATAAAAACTTAATTTGGAGCTCATTTTCTTAATATGGTACCCTTTCATATCCAAAGAAACGATGTTGAAACATCAAATTAGAGCGAGATGCAACCCGAAACACACCCGAGGCCCCTGGGACCCCGACCAATCACACCAACCAGTCCCAAAACACATTACGGACTTACTCGAGGCCTCAAATCACATCAAACAACGCTAAAATCATGAATCAACTCCCAATCCAAGCTTTATGAACTTTAGAACTTCCAACTTCTACTTTCGATGCTTAAACCTATCAAATCACGTCCGATTGACCTCAAATTTTGCACACAAGTCATATTCGACATTACGGACCTACTCCAACTTTCAGAATCGGATTCCGACCCCGATATCAAAAAGTCCACTTTCGGTCAAACTTCTCAAAAACCTTCAAATTTCTATCTTTAGCCAAATGACTTCAAATGACCTACGGACCTCCGAATTCACTTCCGATCGCGCTACCGACTCCAGAATCACCATATGGAGATATTCATAGACTCAGAATTCCAAATGGACATTGATAACACTGAAATGCACTTCAAGCCAAACTTATGAAATTTCTTCCAAAATGCTAACTTCCACAATAGGCGCCAAAACGCTCTCGGGTGATCCAAGACCCGATTCGGGCATACGCCCAAGTCTAAAATCATCATATGAACCTGCTGGAACCTTCTGATCCCAATTCCGAGGTCGTTTACTTAAAAATCCAATCTTAGTTAATTCTTTCAACTTTAAGCTTCCGAAATGAGAATTCTCTTTCCAAATCAACTCTGAACTTCCCGAAACTTAATTCCGACTACGCGTACAAGTCATAATACCTGAAATGAAGCTGTTCATGGCCTCAGACTGCTAAACGATGTGCCAGAGCTCAAAACAACCGGTCGGGTCGTTACAGTATAAAGACTACCTATATAAATTTATACTAGAAAACACCTTCTGTCCATCAACACATTACAGTTTTCGGTGGTTGCTGGTGTTGAATTTTTCCGGCGAGGTTTTGGCTTTCAAATCTGGGCTTCACCAGTAGCAAAGGATGAAACAAAAACTAAGAGAAATAAGAAAATATGAGACAAGGTCGCCGGAGATGCTCTTTTAGGCCAGATTGATAGTTTTAGGCCAGATCTGATAGTTTTTGGACTGATATGCCAAACTTTATTGTGGTTTCTTAACCTTTTTTTGTCAATTAACTCAAAAATTGAAATCTAATTGACATAGAATGCGAGGATTATCACGAGTGTGTACAAAAAAATTCTGTAATTTTTAGGGAGAACGAAGAGAGAGGCGAGTGAAGAGAGATTGAGTATGTTGGGAAAGAAGAAAGAAGAAAAGAACAAAACCCTAGAAGTATGTGTCTTTAATAATGAGTTAAAGACTGAAAAGTTTCTTTCAAATTATATACAATCTGGCCAAACCGGATAAAGGCTTCAAACCTAGGTCATTTTTAGATGGGTTGCTTTGCCAAGTGATTAAATACGTAATTCTTTCTATTTTTTATTGAGATGTTTACATTCCTATGCCATATAGTAAACTATATTACCCTCCATGCTTAACTTTTAATATAATTACCTTTTATATACCTATTACCATTTATGTACATTTTAGGGGTTTTAATGGTATTAATTAGTCTCCTAATTTAACTCTACCGTATATTCCCACTCCCCCCAAGTTTCTCTCTCCAAATCCTCCCCCCTCCCCTCACCCACGTATCAAACCACACCCCAGAATTTCCTCTTCAATCACCCACTATTTCCTCTTCTAAAACCAGCGAAAATCTGTAACCCCTCTACCATTGACAACTATTAAAAAGTTTTGAAGCTTTGAATTCGAATTTGGATTTTCAAAAGACATTGTTTGTTTGGATTGGATGTTGTTGCAAAGAATTGAAAATTCTCTCTACGTTGTTGCAAAAAATTGGGAATATGGTTTGGAGTTTATATCTCAATTTTGAGGGGTTTTGGTGAAGCAAAGGAAAAGAGAGCAACAATTCCACCATTGACAACCATTAAAAAGCTTTGAAGCTTTGAATTCGAATTTGGGTTTTCAAAAATCATTATTTGTTTGGATTGGGTGTTATTGCAAATAATTGGGAATATGGTTTGGAGTTTATATCTCAATTTTGAGGGGTTTTTGTGAAGATTAGACTTGATTTTGGCTGAATTTCAGATTGAAACTCGAAGAAGAAGAAGAAGAAGACATGACATACATTATATTGTAGAAATTGTAGTAAAATTGTAGAAAAATTGTAAAAAAAATTGAATTCTGTTGTTTATTTATTTTTCTTTTATTCATTTAACTATTGTATGAAAGTTGAACAACATTGTATAAAAATTATATTTAAGTTGTATGATATTGTAGTTGTATATAACTGAGTAGAAATAATGTATGAAAATTGTAGATAAGTTGTATAATATATAATTAGTTGTATGAAATTTATTTTTACTATGTATAAATCAGATACAAAATATACAAAAAATATATTGTATAAAGTTTGTATTTAAGTTGTATGTTATTGTAGTTGTATTTAACTGGGTAGAAATAATGTGTGAAAATTGTAGATAAATTGTATAATATATAATTGGTTGTATGAAATTTATTTTTACTATGTGTAAATTAGATACAAAATATACAAAACACATATTGTATAAATATTGTATAAAAATTGTATCAAAGTGGTATTATATTGCAGTTGTATATAACTGAGTAGAAATAATGTATGAAAATTGTAGATAAGTTGTAAATAAGTTGTATAATATATAATTAGTTGTATGAAATTTGTTTTTACTATGTATAAATCAGATACAAAATATACAAAAGATATATTGTATAAATTTTGCATAAAATTTGTATTTAAGTTGTATGTTATTGTAGTTGTATTTAACTTGGTAGAAATAATGTGCGAAAGTTGTAGATAAGTTGTATAATATATAATTAGTTGTATAAAATTTGTTTTTACTATGTATAAATCAGATACAAAATATACAAAAGATAGAAATGAGATCAGAGTTGTCGTTTTAGGACCAAATGAAATGAGAGTTGCATAAACGTTGGTTCACTGAATTTGAACCTAGCTAGACGATGTCTATTACGTTGGAACCGTAATTTCAACTTGTTATAATAAATGAAGCCTACTCTGTAAAAGTGTTTTCTCTAAGATTATTTACATAAAGTGTTTGGAAAAATAAATGAATATTTCATGATGTTACGTGATCATGTATACGTAAGGACGATTATATTCATGAAAAAAATTTGATGATCTAAAGTACGCATGAGATGATGACTATATGCGATATATAAGAATTCCTACAATTTCCAAACATGAACAAAAATCCTGGAAGCAATTTAATTTAGTTCTTCTTGGGTTTTAAAAATAACGGATTGTCCCAAGGTTTTCTGGTTGCAGGAGAAAGACTTCACCAAAAGATGGGATTTATAGTGATACAACAAAGGAAATTTAATAGAGACGAAGTCTTGATCTTTGACATAGAAACAGTGTAATGAGGTTAGAATGCAAGTATTTTGATTATGGATAATATTTAATGTGAAGCCACAAATAATAGAAGATCGTGAGAGAAAGGGGAGAGAGGAGAAAAAAAAGAAAAATGGTAGAACTAAATTCCTTAATTGAAGGCACTAATAATGGATTGGGAGCCTTTTAAGGTGGAATGTATATATTTTGTAAATAAAGCATGTGTAGGTAGGGTAATTAGCTAAATATAGACATTAAGGGTAATAAAGTTTCTAATAGTGTATAGAAATGAAAAAATCCTTTTTTATTTGTATTGCTTAAATTATTCAAATGGAGTGTCCTTTTATACGGCTACTTCTCAACACCCGCGATTATCGCTAGAAATTTCCCAACAGTCTGACGTGGCTGTCCCCACAATGGAAAACCTTCAAAAGTACACCGGGTCCCACAAGATAAGTGGGACCAAGCCGAAAATACAGTGCCACGTTTGCAAATAAAAAAATTATAAACCATTTTAGAAAAGCTAACAACCTTCCTTTCACTCCCATTTTCCGTTTCTCAAATTTCCTCCATTCCAATTCTCCTTTCGATCAAAATTTCGATTTTCCCTTCTTTCTCTTCGCCATATGAAATAACACAAGAGATTTGAAGGAAAAGGCGATCGATTTGTGTGAGGTTATAATACTAATATGGCGAAGAACAGAGAGGAGGAAGAACATAATAAGGTGGTGACATTGACGGAGGAGGAAGAGGAAGAATTGGAGGAACAATTAGGTTCTAGTTTGACACTCGAACGTGTCGCCGCCGCGAAAAAATTGATCGAAGATCATTATAAATCGCACATGAAACTCATCCAGGATCGCAAACAAAGGTTCCTAATTTTCTCTCCTAGATTTTAATTATTCAGATTTTTATTCCAGTACATGATTTGAATTTTCATGTTTATGTAAATATGTTGCACAGTATTTATTTCGAATCCAAATGTGATTTTTTTAGATATATTTAGATTTCGAATTGGAAATATGTGCAAACTGTAGCTCCATTTATAGGTAAAAATAATCACATTATGAATTTTCATGTAGGCATTTATTTTGAATTTTCATGTTATGTAAATACGTTTGTACAGCATTTATTTGGAATGCTACATGTGAATTTTTAGATAACTTTATGTTTTGAATAGGGAAATATGTGCAGAATATAGCTGGTCTTAATGTGGTAGGTTGACAACCAATGTAAGAATAGTCAGATTATGAATTTTTATGTACAACATTCTTAGAATTTTCATGTTGATGAATTTTGGAATGCAGCATTTGATTTAGACAACTTTTTAAATTTTTTAAGCCGAAATATGTGCAAAGTGTAGCTGCTGTCAATGTGGTAGGTTGACAGCAAGTGTAAAATAATCAGATTATGAAGACGTTTATTTGGATTTTTCATGTTTAAAAACATACACGTACGACATTTATTTGGATACGCAAGATGTGTTTTAGAGAACTTTTAGATATTGAATGGAAATTATGTAGCTGGTGTTGTTGTGATAGTTGAAAGCCAGCCTAAAAGAATCATATTGTGACAAATCCTCTTTGATAGGCGAGGTTAGCTAATTTCGGATGAAGGTGTAATTATTAATGATGGTTTGGCTACTCTTGACGGATGCGTCTTTGATTGTCGTTAATATCTTAGATGTGAATGTGTGAAAAAAATCATGAAGATACATGTAGTTAGTGTCTTATCTTGTTTGTTTGGTTAATATAGTAATGGAGCACCTCTTGTCCTACAAATGTTGTACTACTCTAAATCTTTTAATAAAAACGCATTTTCAACTAAGCTGTTATGGACCGAGTAACCATGTGCGTATGCCTTTGCTTACAGGTATTCTCACATTTCTGTTGAGTTAAATGCGCTATGTAGGCTAGCATACTTATAGTTGAGCCAATCACTGAAGGAGAGTGATATTAGATGGAATTTTGACAATTCATTTCTGTAGCCCCTCATGTATTATTGTCTATAAACTGTAGGCGTTTACTGCTAGAAAGGAAATTGGAAAGCTCTGGTGTACCAAAGGAGGAACAAATGAACCTTCTAAAGGAATTGGAGAGAAAAGAGACAGAGTATATCCGACTAAAGCGTCACAAGATTTCTGTTGATGATTTTGAGCTTTTGACGATTATTGGGAGAGGAGCTTTTGGAGAGGTTTGAGATTCTTAATATCTTTAGATTTAAAAATATTTCATTTTTCAGGGATTATTTTTTCCCCCTAAGTTTTGTTATCAGGACTGTTACAACCTTTGAAGACTGAATTTTAACTTCATATGCTTAACCAGAAGGAGCATGTTCAATGAATTCCTTCGATTTTCATGCAAAATCCACATGCAATAATACCTTCTCAAGATGCATAATTATGTTTTTTAAATTTACCTAGACATTTAATAATTGGAGTCACTCATGATGCCTTCGCTTTTGTATTTCTCGCTATTCTTGTGTAGCTTTGTATGACAATAATTGCTGTTATTAGAGCACCCTAAGTAAGTTTGAAAATCTTAATTGCTACCCAAAGCTTCTGTATTTTTCAGATAATTATTATTTTTGGAAGATAAATTCCTTTAGTCCTTCAATTGGACATTATAGGGAGCCTGGTGTATTAGCTCCGGCTATGCATGGGTTCCAGGAAAGGATGGACCATATTTCTGATTGTTTCCACGGCTTGAACCCACGACATCCTGATCACACGGAATTTGTTTCATGTTTACCGGCATTGGCTCCTGATAATGAGTTGCTGATTCTTATGCAAATCTATTTTTGCAGGTCAGGTTGTGCCGGGATAAAATATCTGGTAATATATATGCAATGAAAAAGTTGAAGAAGTCTGAAATGCTAAGTAGGGGGCAGGTGAGATCAAATCCTTTCTAACATGCTTAAGGAGCCAATTAGTATCCATCTTCTTTGTTAAATAATATTTTTTTTCCTAGTCCGTTGCTCTGCTTCTTCTATCAAGATGTGCAAGGAAATGCAGCATACTTTTTTAAGAAGTGATCTGTTTTCTCTTACCATCTCTTTACCTTACAGGTTGAACATGTTCGGGCCGAAAGGAATTTGCTTGCTGAAGTAGCAAGCCACTTTATTGTAAAACTTTATTATTCTTTCCAAGATGCTGATTACTTGTATCTAGTAATGGAATATCTGCCCGGTGGTGATTTGATGACGTTGCTGATGAGGGAGGAGACATTAACTGAGACAGTCGCAAGATTTTACATTGCTCAGAGTGTTTTAGCCATAGAGTCTATTCATAAGCATAACTACATACACAGGTAGTTAATCTACTTGGTAAAAGATTTGAAATGATCTCAATGCATAACGGTTTATGTCTTTTACATAACGTTTTTTTTTTGTAGGGATATTAAACCCGACAATCTTCTTTTGGACAAAAATGGCCACATGAGGCTGTCTGATTTTGGTCTATGCAAGCCGCTTGACTGTTCGAATTTATCTCCTATAAATGAAAATGAAGTGATGGACGATGAGAACTCAAGGGGATCTGCTAACAAGGGAACTGGAAGCTGTTGGAATAGCTCACTTGAACAACTGCAGCATTGGCAAATAAACAGGAGAAAATTAGTAAGTAGGACATTATTAACAGAAACACACATATTATCTCATAAATTATAAACTTAATCCGGAAACCTTATTTTTGCTTCTTTTTTTCCTCAACGATCATAGATGTGCACACTGCGTTTGTTGTTGTTGTTGTTGATCATAGGTCTGCGTACACATTACCCTCTCCAGATCCCACTTGTGGGATTACACTGGGTTTTTTGTTGCTGCTTTTGTTGTTGATCATAGATGTGCAGTATAAAAATTATTAATCAAAAGAAAAGTAATATCTAGTACCATAATAATTGGTTTCGGGAGATTAACATATGTACCACCACTATTCCTGCTTTTGGATAGTGTGAACTTTGTAACGTAATCAGGCAGACACAGCTCCGATAATTGTGGTGATAAATGAACTATCAATCCAAAGTCTATCTTCACATGAGTAAAGGATATGAACTAGAAAAATATTTTACTATTCCTAGAAGTGACCTTTTTTTACTACCTTCTGTGACAATATTTGTTGTCTAAAACAAATTAGTTAGCAGAACTAGTAATATTATCTGTTTCTATTGCAGGCGTTTTCAACAGTGGGCACTCCTGACTATATTGCTCCTGAGGTTTTACTGAAAAAAGGCTATGGAGTGGAATGTGACTGGTTAGTTTTCTTACTGTTTCTGATTGACATGGATTTTAATTGGATGGTGTTTTCTTTTAAAAAAAAGTGCTTTCCTTTTCAAAGTTTAGACTGTATCATGTACCTGTTGCTAAATATCTCGCACATGTTTTGCTTATTCTTCTCTTTTAGGTATGGTCACTTCTTGAATAGACAAAGTAAAGTTAGTAGACTTGATCCATCATCCTCTTTACTTCTTGCTTTGTTCAGGTGGTCACTTGGCGCCATCATGTATGAGATGCTCGTTGGCTATCCCCCTTTCTACTCTGAAGATCCAATAACGACATGTAGAAAGGTATAGTGGTCCGCTCTTGAATGTTTGTCAATTTATTTAAGCAGCTTTGACGCTACAAAAAATACAAGTTTGGAAAGGAAATCTACTTTCTCCTTGTTCAACATTAATAATGACACCGGGATTATCCCTTTATCCTTTGATTTTAGTTAACAATCAAATTATCTAATGGTAGTTCAGTTAGGATGCTTATGTAGCACGACTTAAATGCTATGCCTTGACACTTGTTCTGGTTCTATAGATTGTTCATTGGAGAAATCACTTAAAATTCCCAGAGGAAACAAGATTGAGTCCTGAAGCCAAAGACCTGATCTGTAGATTGCTTTGTGATGCTGAAAATCGCCTTGGTTGTCGAGGAGCAGAGCAAATAAAGGTTTGTTGTTACTTGTTACGAGAAATTCCACTTAACAGTCAATTATAGATTCTTATGTTTTATTCATGAATATAATTAGGCTCACCCCTGGTTCAAAGACATAAAGTGGGATAAACTTTATGACATGGAGGCAGCATACAAGCCAGAAGTCAATGATGATCTTGACACTCAAAATTTCATGAAGTTTGATGAGGTGAATTACCATTTTATATGTTATACCTATTCCTGTTTTTTTTTATTTCAAATTTTAGAGAAATTCTGTGAGAAGTGATATTTCATCTTTGAAATTTAATCGTGACTGTATGTCCGTATGATTCACTACTACGCAAGCTACCTTTGTGGGCATGCTGTGATTAAAAGTTAACCTAGGTGATCTTATATACCTATTTGTTATTTTGGTACCTAAAGATGAGCTTATGGTACCGATCAACAATGACTGTGATGACTTGACTGTGCATATATGCAGGACACTAATTCCTCTAGAGTATGTTTTCTTCTCTCATTAATGTAAGCCCTTCCGTTTTGCACCAAAGTGGAGAAAAACAAAGTGAAGTGTAGAAGAAGTGAAAAAGTAAAAGAGGAGAATTAAAAGCAAAATGAGAATGAAAAACAGAATTGGAGGATCAAAGCTAATTTTATCACCAAAAGCACAGGACCATTTTCTGGATAAAACTGATGAAATTAGCATTTATTATTTTCTTTCGTATATACTTGAGCTTCATTTTGGATGATGAATTTGATATTCATGCATGTTTAATTGTTGTTAACAATGCTGAGTTGAGAATTCTTTTGATACTGATGTACAATTGAAACTCTTTAATTTGCAGGCAAATCAGCCACCAGCAAAAATTAGTTCAGGACCCCATAGAAAGGTGAGTTTTCTTTCGCTACTGATGTACGCCACATTTAGCTATGGTTCTACTTACCAGCTCTCAGGGCACTAGCTTTCGTTCATGATGATAAATCTTTTACATCTCCACATTCCATACTGAATGTAATCATGTCTTGCTGCACGTCTTGCTAGCATCACTTTGGCATTTTCTTCTCTTGCTTACTTTTCTGTATCTCCTTTCCAGAACACCTTTTTTCCCCATGCCATGCTTAAGTAAATCTTTTCTATTCTAATATTTATTTTGGCAGAAGCGTCTGATTCCGGAAGATTTAAGTTTTGTTGGCTATACCTACAAGAATTTTGAGGCTGTCAAGGGATTGAGACATTCTTCGGGTATAGTGACCTCAATATACTCTCAGACAATAACAGTTCTGTCATCTTCTTTTTGAAGGGAGCTCATGTTGCATATTCTATCATCTATTAAGTCACTGATAATACTCTTATGTATGTCGTGGGCTTCGTGGCCTGTATGATTGCTTCAATGAATTCTGAACTTCTATATCATTAACACAGCAGGTCCTACAATTAGACTGGTAATAATTTATAATGCTCACTTGTGTTGATGTATGTCTTAATGCTCTCATTGGACATAAGTTACAAGTAGGTATATGACATGAATAAAGCAGTTACTGAGTTATGGCATCTGTTAGATTTTTGTGTAGCATCTTTAGTTTCTTAGATGATTGGTCATGCACTCAACTTGACATTTTATCGACTTCCTGGATATGGAAAACTTCAGTATCTTGCTGATTGTTTTAACTTTCAATATATATTACTGTGTCTTCTTCTTCTTGAGCCGAGGGTCTTTCGGAAACAGCCTCTCTACCCTTCCGGGGTAGGGGTAAGGTCTCTGCATACACTCTACCCTCCCCAGACTCCACTTGTGGGATTTTACTGGGTTGTTGTTGTTGTTGTATATATTACTGTATGTGCTGGTTTTATGAATGAGCTGTCTATAGTTTAAACTGTTAGAGTGTTTGGAGCCCTCAGTAGTAATTCAGTGCTGAATTGCTATTCTCTTCATTATAGGGTAACTGAGTTTACTTGGTAATCCACCTAGAGTCATGAAAGCACAATAGTCAACTTTGAGTGTTCTAATACTCCTTACGGAACTATTTGGACAAGGTACTATTATGGGAAAAGTCCCACTCTAATTAGAATCGCTTAATGTGCATGACATATTGATCAAATAAAGAGACTTCAAACAACTATTTGGGTGGGGGTTTGGGGGGGGGGGGTGGGGGGGTCAGTAGGACC